CCTTGAGTCACTTAGTAGCCAGCTTGGTTATCAGATCCACTGTCTCGGTATCACGGTGCTTGTGTTCACGGCACCCTTATTTTCCATAATCGTGGCTCTGAAGTGTAAGAGTAGTGATGATGGCATATTGTTATAATTGATCTGTTTTATTAGTAGCTGTTGTTCATCTTTTACTGTGTCTAATTTATAAATTAGGCTTCATCATAGGTATGTATGTATTGGAAAAAAACAGTGCATATAGGGCTTGGGACTAGCCTTGGGACTATTGAGGCATCTACTGGGGGTCTTGGAATATATCTTCCATGGATAAGGGGGTAGACTACTATAGTAAGTGACTAAAAGTACATATTTCACAGAAGTTACTAGAATTGACAGACTGTAGATTGCTTATGGTCAGACTGTACACATCTGTCCTGATTCTTTGGCCTTGGGGGAAAACCCTGGAGCATTTTTCTGTTGGGAGGCCTCTGATCATGGTGGGGATTTCAGGAGCAAAGCACCTGGAGTGCTAATCTGGAGAACGTACTTGAGACGCATCCTGGTGTTATCATTTCTGTGACTCGGGGATCTTCCAATACGATGTTTATGCCCCACCCAAGCTGACTCTGCACAGAACCAGAAAGGTTGTTTTTCATTTTGATTTCTCTCCTGTCCATGGTGATATTGCCTTACCCTGAAACATTTCAGTGTATTACTACTTAAGACTAGGGCTTTTCATTTTCCTGTGAAAGATTTCTTTTAAAAAATTCTAACTCGGGAATTAGTGGTAGGGACATAATTTCATTTTAAAGCAACTCACTCACTCTACAAAAGTTGGGAAGACACATTTGTGCTGCTGTAAAACATACATTTGTGTGCTCTGCAGAGGAAAAATATTCTCCCAAGTTTGCATTTCTCAATTCTGTGCTCCTAACAGAGAATATATTTTTGTATCTCATGTTTGACTATGTTGAGCAAGATTAAAGCCTAATTTTCCAACCTTGGCTTTTCTGCCAGAGTTTAGAAGTTAGAAACCACAAGGCTGCACAGAGCTCCACAGTCTGCAGTGTTGAACAGGACCTGCTTTGTAGATGGCTAGTCGCTGTGTTAGGGTGTGGTGACCTGTGCTAACTGCAGCCCATGGGAGACCACCCCTTGAGCACATAGTCATTAGGAAGCTACTCCGGGTTTGCGGAGCCTTGGCCAGGATAACCCAGGCAGGCCTCTAGCATTAGTCTCCCTCTGGAGAAGATGAGTGCTTTAGGGGATCTTTGTCATCTGAATAGACTGTAGTGATTATAATGTTTTTGTACCTGAACATGTCCATGTTGGCAAAGTTCTGAGAAGTCCTTGCTAGTACCTGGAAGAGTTTTAGATGGTGCATGCCTACCAATAAATGGAGGTTGACCATACAATGTTCTAAACCTTCTTGTCCTCACTCTCCTTCCTACCCACTGATTCCGTCCAGAGCTGAGCAGGGTGTGGTTTCCTTTTCGTCACGTAGCTTGGGAGTGTGTTCCTGGAAAGGCTCATTTGTGGGAGCGTCCCTTGATTGTCATATAAGAGAGCGCCCTGGCTGTGGATCACACTGTCACTGCCCACAGCCAGAGGTCAGAGTCCACTTGGAAACATAATTGCCACTTTGCCCAGGATTTGAAGGTGTCCATGAGCTTACCTAAGACTTTGTTTGAAGCGTTTATGACCAGAGTGGAAAGTGGTGACTTGGTCCTGCCCAACCCGGGTGGTATCTGTGGGAGAAGTGAGTGTTACAGAGGCAGCTGATGGGGAGTTATCCCCATGGAGAGCATAAGCTGGGAAGTTTTCATCATGAGCCTATTAAATTCTCTTCCTGCAAGGGTCTTACTAGAAAGGCATAGCACAATCATGCATTTGTTCTGCATTGAGAGTGATTTTTCTTAGAACATAATGCTGAGATGTTTAATATAATCTCTCTTCTCAGTCCCTTCTTTAAAATGCCCCAGTGTCAAAAATTGGATTTCATGATTGTTTGGAAATTCCTACTCTATTTTCCAACCCCACACTCACTCAAGAGGAGTGGGAATCTCAGCTTCTTAGAAGAGGCATTTCAGCGTCTGAGCCACTAACCAGTATCTGGACCCAGCCTGCCACAGTGTCTAGAGGTTTTGGAGGACAATGCCGAGGCAGGCCTGGTCCCTTCTCCCTCTCCCTTTTCTCTCCTACACCCCTCTACCTCCTCTTATCCACACCTTCTTACACTTGCGTCTGCTCATTCGTTCCATTGGTGATCCTTTTCACAGGGGCTAGACTGTTTCTCACTCTCTCCAGTTCAGGGGCCTGGGGATTGATGAGAGCGTCAACATTAGTTAACAGTTGAGTGTGTGGTTCTCTCGTGGCCTCCACTGTGGCATCTCAGCAGCTTGGGCAGTGGGAGGAGTGGCAGTGGCCGGGCAGCCCAGCTTCATGAAGGCTCTCGGTGCCAAGATGCCCAAGAGGAAGGTCAGCTCGGCCAAAGGTGCCATGAAGGAACAACCCAAGAGGAGATCAGTGCGATTGTCAGCTAAACCTGCTCCTGCAGAAGTGGAAACCACAAAAAGGCGGCAACAAAAGATAAATCTTCAGACAAAAAAGTGTAACCAAAAAGGAAAAAGGAAGCAAAGGGAAAACAGACAGAAGGGCTAGCCAAGAAACTAAAGAAGATTTACCTGCAGAAAATGAAACCGAGGAGCATCCAGCTTCTGATGAAGCAGGAGAGAGAGAAGCCACATCTGGTTAATATCATACACCAGGTCTTATCAGTGGTCTGTCTCCCTTTTCATACAATCCAGAGGAATATTTTTATCAAATATTTTGTAAACATAAGTTTTTAGTAGCTCTAGAAACATTTTTAAAAGGGAGGGAATCCCACCTCATCCCATTTTTTTTAAGTCAGTGCTTTTTTTTTTTTTTTACAGGTGAATCATTCACTGATTGTTTATTTTTTGTTACAACCAGAAAATAATGTGGGATATTGAATTAAGGGGGACTTTGACTATCTTGAGTGTCAGCTTAACATTCCATAGATTTGGGTGGGGGGGTTAGTTTTTATATCCTATAATGCAAAGCATACTAAATGGTGGTATGGAGTCCCAGGTCTGCATTTAATGTCTTGAACATTTTTAATTACTCCTATTCCCATGTTGCTTTTTAGTGGAATTGTTTCCTAAAGGAAACCATTCCTGGATCGTGGCTCTCCTGTCAGAATTGCGTACACTCTGTGACATCTTTGGTTGTGGTAGTTCTGTGTTCCTAATAACTTCGTTAATGTGCTGTGAAAGATTGAAAATTTGAGTATGTATTTTTTTTTTTTTTGAGACAGAGTCTCACTTTGTTGCCCAGGCTAGAGTGAGTGCCGTGGCTGTCAGCCTAGCTCACAGCAGCCTCAAACTCCTGGGCTTAGGTGATCCTCCTGCCTCAGTCTCCCAAGTAGCTGAGACTACAGGCATGTGCCACTAAGCCCGGCTAATTTTTTCTATATATATTAGTTGGCCAATTAATTTCTTTCTATTTATAGTAGAGACGGGGTCTTGCTCTTGCTCAGGCTGGTTTTGAACTCCTGACCTCGAGCAATCCGCCTGCCTCGGCCTCCCGGAGTGCTAGGATTACAGGCGTGAGCCACCATGCCTGGCCTTGAGTATGTAATAATAGTATATATGATAATAAATTTTGAATTGGTGAGACTTAGGTGATAGCTTGTCAACATTTGAAGATACTGGTACTGGCAATGACCTCTTGATATCCTCTTAAGGAAAATTTGCCTCTGAATTTTAAGCTGGAAAGTCACTGGAATAACTGTTTAAAAAAGAATTACAATAAATGGCTTTTTAGATTTTTGATACATATGTTAAGAATTGCATACAAATTGAAATGTCTATACTGATCCTTAGCAGAACCAGTAAAATTTCAGTTATGAAAGAAAAAGAAAGGAAAAAAAGTTGAGCATATCCAAATAAATACACCTCTTGGAGTTCCTCAGTGAAGTCAAACTTAGCCTGAGCTGTTGGCCAGGAAGGTGTGGACATGGTTACCTCTGACTCTTTGGACTTTGGTCCATAGGCAGTGGGAATGGTGTGGCTCCTGTTGGTTTGGGGTGTGTGGTCTGACAAAGGGCCTGGTGACATTGCTCCACCCTCCCTCTGTGCAGTGTTCAGTTGTGAAATTCCAAACCTGGAGTCTGCTGGGCTTCTCAAGAATGATTTTTCCTTTTTCTCAACATGCAAATTGCAGGCTCCATACTCCTCAGGAGTCATCACTGGCAAAAAGCCATTTTCTCTCACCAAATTCTTGATGACTTTTCAGGATCGTAACACAAGGTTTTTATCTCTAACCCTGGGTAGCATGTTCATTGGCACTGGGAGTAGGGAGGCAACAGAGCAGAGATGAGGATTCACGGGCCTGCGCTTGACCTTCTGGCCTGCAGATGTGTCTGGTTTGGCTTACATGGCATTTTTCAAATCAATCAATTTTATTTTGAGAGAAGAAATAGAAAAGATTTCTAGCCTAACATGAAAATCAAAAGATCTCTCCACTCAGTGCTACATTTTGATGGCAGTCAGCTTTGGCTGGGTGGCACCTGCACCCTAATTCTGGGTGGGGTATTTTTGCCACAGTCCCTACCACTCCATGTTGTCTCACCCATGGCCTGAGCTAGTTCCCATGTGCATCTTTGTTCCCTGCGGTGGGGAACATCTTGATTTGGGATCTTGGGTCCTGTGTCTCCTGGGCTTTGTGTACCCCAGGCACAGACCTGTACTCTGCCATCTCTCCACTGTTGCTTCATTATCAGACATGGGGACTGCTCATGTCTTGGATAAAAATTGGTCAGTTCTAAAGAAGAGCAGGTAAGAACATGTGACATCAGGAAGGGCCTGGGTTTGCTGCTTCTCTGAATTTATTAGAAAGAAAGAATTTGTGAACCTTCAGTTTGGTGATAGGGGTTGGGATGGAAACTGTTGAATGCCTCAGTTTCTACAAAAAGTAATCTCTGTGTATGTGTTTGGCAGGTGAAAGGGAAGCAAGCCAGAATGGATATTTACGACACTCAGACCTTGGGGGTTGTGGTCTTTGGTGGATTCATGGTTGTTTCTGCCATTGGCATCTTCCTGGTGTCGACCTTCTCCATGAAGGAAACGTCATATGAAGAAGCCTTAGCCAACCAGCGCAAGGAGATGGCAAAAACTCACCACCAAAAAGTAGAGAAGAAAAAGAAGGAGAAAACAGTGGAAAAGAAAGGAAAGACCAAGAAAAAGGAAGAGAAACCCAACGGCAAGATACCTGACCACGAGCTGGCACCCAACGTGACTGTCTTCCTTAGAGAGCCAGTGCGGGCACCTGCCATGGCTGTGGCTCCAACCCCAGTCCAGCCTCCTGTGGTCATTGCCCCTGTCGCCACAGTTCCAGCCATGCCCCAGGAGAAGCAAGCCTCCTCCCCTAAGGACAAAAAGAAGAAGGAGAAAAAAGTGGCAAAAGTGGAACCAGCAGTCAGTTCTGTAGTGAATTCCATCCAGGTTCTTGCCTCAAGAGCCATCTTGGAAACTGCTCCCAAGGAGGTGCCCATGGTAGTTGTGCCGCCAGTCGGTGCCAAGGCCAGTATCCCAGCCACCGGCATTGCTCAGGGCAAAAAGGCCGAGGGTGCCCAGAACCAGAGCAGAAAGGCTGAGGGTGCCCAGAACCAGGGCAGAAAGGCAGAGGGTGCCCAGAACCAGGGCAAAAAGGCCGAGGGAGCCCAGAACCAGGGCAAAAAGGCCGAGGGCTCCCAGAACCAGTCCAAAAAGGCCGAGGGTGCCCAGAACCAGGGCAAAAAGGCCGAGGGAGCCCAGAACCAGGGCAAAAAGGCCGAGGTGGCCCAGAACCAGGGCAAAAAGGCTGAGGGCGCCCAGAACCAGGGCAAAAAGGCCGAGGGTGCCCAGAACCAGGGCAAAAAGGCTGAGGGAGCCCAGAACCAGGGCAAAAAGGCCGAGGGTGCCCAGAACCAGGGCAAAAAGGCCGAGGGAGCCCAGAATCAGGGCAAAAAGGCCGAGGTGGCCCAGAACCAGGGCAAAAAGGCCGAGGGAGCCCAGAACCAGGGCAAAAAGGCCGAGGGTGCCCAGAACCAGGGCAAAAAGGCCGAGGGTGCCCAGAACCAGGGCAAAAAGGCCGAGGGAGCCCAGAACCAGGGCAAAAAGACCGAAGGAGCCCAGAACCAGGGCAAAAAGGCCGAGGGAGCCCAGAACCAGGGCAAAAAGGCCGAGGGTGCCCAGAACCAGAGCAAAAAGGCCGAGGTGGCCCAGAACCAGGGCAAAAAGGCCGAGGGTGCCCAGAACCAGGGCAAAAAGGCCGAGGGAGCCCAGAACCAGGGCAAAAAGGCTGAAGGTGCCCAGAACCAGGGCAAAAAGGCCGAGGGAGCCCAGAACCAGGGCAAAAAGGCCGAGGGTGCCCAGAATCAGGGCAAAAAGGCCGAGGGTGCCCAGAACCAGGGCAAAAAGGTAGATGGGGCCCAGAACCAGGGCAAAAAGGCCGAGGGGGCCCAGAACCAGAGCAAAAAGGCCGAGGGAGCCCAGAATCAGGGCAAAAAGGCAGAGGGTGCCCAGAATCAGGGCAAAAAGGCCGAGGGTGCCCAGAATCAGGGCAAAAAGGCAGAGGGTGCCCAGAACCAGGGTAAAAAGGCCGAGGGGGCCCAGAACCAGGGCAAAAAGGTAGATGGGGCCCAGAACCAGGGCAAAAAGGTCGAAGGCACCCAGAACCAGGGCAAAAAGGCTGAGGGGGCTCAGAACCAGGGCAAAAAGGCTGCTGAGGGGGCCCAGAACCAGGGCAAAAAGGCCGAAGGAACCCCAAACCAGGGCAAAAAGGCTGAGGGAACCCCAAACCAGGGTAAAAAGGCCGAGGGGGCCCAGAACCAGGGCAAAAAAGTAGAAGGTGCTCCCAACCAGGGGAAAAAGGCCGAGGGGGGTCAGAACCAGGGCAAAAAGGCTGAGGGGGGTCAGAACCAGGGCAAAAAGGCCGAAGGGGGTCAGAACCAGGGCAAAAAGGCGGATGGGAGTCCCAACCAGGGGAAAAAGGCGGATGGGAGTCCTAACCAAGGCAAAAAGGCAGATGGGAGTCCTAACCAGGGCAAAAAAGCAGAGGGGACCCCCAACCAGGGCAAAAAGGCAAATTTAGTTGCTAATCAGGGCACAAAGGCAGAAGGTGTTACGAACCAGGGGAAAAAAGCAGAAGGGGTCCCTAGTCAAGGCAAAAGGGCAGAGGGAACACCAAACCAGGGCAAAAAGGCAGAAGGGTCCCCCAACCAAGGCAAGAAGGTGGATGCAGCTGCTAATCAGGGTAAAAAGAGAGAATCAGCTCCCATCCAGGGCAAAAATACAGATATGGTTCAGAGCCAGGAGGCACCAAAGCAAGAGGCTCCTGCAAAGAAGAAGTCTGGTTCAAAGAAAAAAGCTGATTCTGGTAAGTAACTGATTTCTTTATGAGCTTGGAGGGAAAAGCTGTGTTTAAATGACTTGTGAATCTTCTTTGGGGGTGCTACCTGTATCAGTCAGCTATTACCACAATAAGGCTGTGTAGCAAACATTCTAAAACAAAATTAGTGGTTTACAACAGCCGTCATTTAGGCTTGCTTGTGCTTCTGTGAGTTGTCTACAGGTTGGCAGGACTGAGTTGCCTTGCCTGGTAGCTCTGCTTCAAGCTGTGGTTTGACTGGGTTGGTGGGTTGACTCCTTACTGCAGGTTGAGCTCAGGTGTGTTCTGCATGTGTTCCTTCTGGCGCTTCCAGGGCAGAGGCCCTTCTCATGGTTACAGAAGAGACACAAAAGGGCATTTCAAGCAGGTGCATTTCAATCCAGCATCCCATTGGCTGGGGCGATTCGTATGACTGAGCCTGAGTTAAGAGGCTGGGAGAGGTAAGAAATTAGGAACAGTAATTCCATCCACCACACAGTCTAGAACACTTCCATGTCTTGGCAAGTCTTTCTTAACTATCTGTCTGTATTCTGTCAGCCTGTTCTATGTTCTTCCTCACCCAAAGCTTTAGTGTAGCTCTATTCCTTATCTGTGCTTGTTGAGTGAAGAATGGTAGACAGCGTTTCTAAGTAACACTTGCATTTCCCTTCCCCACTTTCCCCCTGTTCTTTGCCCCAACTCCTGTCATTTAATGAAGCGTTATAGAGCATTAATACACATATTATTTAATATAATAGATAGATAGATAGATAGATATTAGATAATATGGAGCATTACCTGTATCTTTTTAGTGCATATTACTATGGAAATCTGGCCAGGGAGTTCCTGTTTCATGTTCATCACTCATTTGATTTTTCTTTTTAAGACTTCAAATAGTCATTAGGTGGTTTGGGAAATTAATTGCATTTGTCTTGACAAAAGGTACCTTAGAGGGTCTGAAGTGCTTGGACGTGCGCTGGGTCACACAGGGCCCTATGCATTTAGCTAGGTCTCCCTGCTTTGCCACTCTGTCCGGCTATATTGCCTTTTCTCAGATTTGCTCCTCCTCCTTTTGACAGGGCGTTTGCTCAGGCAGCAGCACCCTGCCCCACGTGAGGGGTCCCAGCCCTGTTGAGCAGCTGTGGGCTCCTGCTGGGAGTAAGGACCAGCCTGCCTGGTCCCACCAGGTCAGGCAGCCTCAAAAGCCCTATGGAAACCCAAACACACAGTCTCAGCCCTACTTCCGGAAGCTGGAGGGCAGCACACTGCCCTTTCTTTAACATGATGTTCTGCTTGAGCCAAAGCCAAGGAAGGGAGTTGAGAACTGGCCGTTAGCTACTTCCCCCACATCAGTTGTGTCCAGAGCTTCCTGTGTCCTGTGGTCATTCTTACCTTGTATGGTTTTAGACATTTGAAACAAGATGTGAAACAGAAATGCGATGATAATAAAGGCAAACTTGTCCTAATTTTCAGGTAATAAAGAGCCTTGTTAGGGATTGAGACCTGCGTGTGACCTCTGTGAACCTGCCCAACAGCTTGGCTGAGGTGATAAAAAGAAAATTCCAACCAAGAAAATAAATACCATGTTCTAGAATAAAGATTAAATATTATAGATAAAAGGATAGTAATTCTCAAATTTACTTAGTGGCCTACCAGTCACACTTTCAATGGGATTTTCCACCCTATCCTGACAAAATTATTTCCAAAGTCCCATCTGAGGGAAAAATAAGTAAGAATATTGAACCAATTTTTTAAGTCACTTTTATTAATAGAAAACCAGTCCTGTCTGATGTGTGATAGTATTCCCAAATATTGTAATGACAAATAAGGGAATAGAATGGTCTGGAAATCATGTGTCAACACCTGCGAACTTGATTAAGACAAACATTGTATTTCAGTGCGGAAGGAAAAATGTTCAATGAATGATCTTGGGCAGCAGGTTCATATGTTCGTTATTGGAAAATTCTACTTAGACCCCCACCCCCACTTCCAAGCACTTATCTCACTATGAAAATTTAAAGTTTGGATGAAATAGATTGAGTTTTAAAAGAAATTAGTATTGATCAGCCCATATGGTGGAAGATGGTCACTCCGGGGTTGCCATGAGAGGCAGTCACCGAGGCCAACGTGGGGAAGCTTGACCACACAGCCAGCCACGTGGGACTGTCACACCAAGATAGAAAGGCAAAGGCACGTGGCAGCATGTGTTGCCAGTATGACCCCAAAAGGCAAATTTCTTTAATCTTCAGAATGTCTGAGAGTCTGGAAACTTGGGGAAAGTACTTTCTTGAACTTCATTTTTCCTCTTCCAGAAATTGCGCTGAGTAATCTCAACCCTGTTTTCCCTGGTTGGTGTTTAAAGCCATCTTCAGCGCCCTGTGTGGGGAATGCAGGCCACCCCCTCCCCAGACTCCGAAAGGATCCTGGAGATTTCCCCTCCTGCAGTGCTTCTTAAACTTCAGTATGTAGTGGGTCACATGGGGATTTTGTTAGGATAAAGATTCTGACTCAGTGGGTCTGGGCTAAGACCCGAGATTCTGCCTTTCTGACCAGCCCCTAGGACATGCTGACACTGCTGCTCTCAAGTCCACACCTGGGTTAGTAAGGACTCAGGGAGACATTTGCATATAACTAGCAAACAGTTTTAGAAATTCACATTAAAACAAATAACAAGCATTATTAAGAACTATTACTATAACCAAAAAACATAGTTTTAAAAGGTGGTGGCATTGTAAATTGTGTGACCTTTTGAAAAGCAATTTAGCAAAATGTATCAAGAGCCTTAAAGGGGCTGGTAGTTTTTCTTTTACTCCTGGGGCTCTCCTGTGAGGAAACAGTACAGACTGTGGCAGCCAGGCCTGTGGGTTAGTGGCTGTGAGGACCCTCTGCGCATTCTGCCTCGGGAAGGCACAACGCAGCCACTAACAGTGGCGGTTGTGAAGATGTCATGGTAGCCTGCAAAGATGTGGTCACTGTGTGACTTTTAACTGAAAAAGTAGATACCGGATTCTTTAGATATGATGATAACAATGGAAGACAAAGACATTAGATAAGTGATAACAGTATTAAAAAACTTCAGGAAGTATACCACAAGGAGTATTCTGAATATTTTCTTCAATATCCAGTTGTATTCTGAATATTTTCTTCAATGTCATAATATTTTATCTTTCAACGGTCAAAAAGCATCCCTGAAGAAGGCACTGGATCTTATGGCTGTAACAGCACTCCCTGGGGTTGGAAATGCCTGTTTCGAAGGAATTCTAATAAGCTGTTAAAGTAGAGAATTTCCTATTAAAACTCTTCTTATTTAATGACCTTTAGAAGTTATTTTAGGAGCATAAAATGGGTCTTGATATATTATCTTAATCTATTCATCATTCCAAAAATAAAGCAATAATGACACTTCCTTAATTCCACATGTTTAAACAACCTAGAAAGATACCTGGAGGGCAGGACCGGGGAAATCCTGCTCCCACCTGCTGAACTCCCAGGATGTAGCTCAGCATGTCGGGCCTCTGCATGTGGACTCATCTCGGTGGTTCTGGGGTGACTTGCAGAGAAGGACCCAAGAGCAGGAGCCACAGAAGACAGACCTAGGAGAGTGAGGGTCGTTGATAGCAACCCAGGCCTGTTGTGAAGGGAGTGTGGGCTTGCTGACTGGGTCCAGAGCTCCAGCCACAGTGACTCTTCACTGTCTCTTCACTGTCTCACTGACCTCTTCACGAGTCTCAAGCAGCATCAGCTCAGGACAGATGAAAGGAGACATTTGTGAACACGGAGGGAAGTTGTTAGCAAATGCACATGATTGGGTGACAGGGCCTGAAATTCCAGGTGTTGAAATTCCAGTTGACAAGCACAAGTATTCAGTGTACTCCTTTTCTGTAGAATCAGTAGTATATATTGGTCAGGCTCCAAGTTTGTCCATAGAAAACTTTCATATCCTTAACGTTTCTGAAGTTCCATGGACCCGTGTGGAGAGCCTCTCACTGGGGGGCCAGTGTCTGTGCAAGAGGGAACATTCGGGATTCTTGCTTTTGATGCTCAGAACTCAGCTCCTGCTGCCATCGTCCTTGTTATGCCAGTGGACTTTGGAATGACGGAGGCTGGGTGCCTGCTGCATGGAGGGTGGGGGGAGGGAGGCTGCTGGCCCTGGGCCGTGAGGAGGTTGGGCATACATGACATGGAGGTGTCTATGCCAGGCTGCATGGGTGGCAATGGAAATGGAGAACCATTCCTTTTATTGTGTCCTTTAGTGCAGTGGTCAGACCCCATGTGACCATTGTCAAACCACAGTAGGCAAGAATGTGTTCATGAGTTACTGTTTTTGTAATTGCAGGGTGTACTTTTCTATGGTCTGTGCTGGTATGTATCTAACAATGTCCTCATTGGTGTGGGTCTGTCTTGGTTGGGTTTCCGAGGCCAGCAGGTATGTGTGTGTGCACTTCACATTCTTGTCCACCTTGCGTCTTGAAGGCCCACCTCGACTCCGGGAACTTAGTCATCTGCAGCAATGTTCCCACCATGTCTAGCATTCCCTCATTGTCTTCGTTTTCCACAGTGCTGTGTTGGCCATGAACTGTGGTGCCAGAACTTACGAGGCACAGATCTATCAGTTGACGGCAAGGATTTTCACCAGTGGCTTGTGGAATGCATTTCCCACTTTCTTGCAGTCACATGTTGTACACGGAGCGTAGTGTTCCAGGATTCATCTGGTTCATCTTTATCATTTGTGGCTGACTGTGCTGCTGAGTGAGCAGGCACGATTGAGAAGCCAGCCTTGATGTTTCATGCTGTTAGACCTCGTGTTCCTGCCTTTGGAAAGGCTGCAGGCAGCCCTGGCCTGCCCTTGGCCTCCTTGCCCCTCAGCCAGGGCTAAGCTGCTCTGTCTGTCCAGGGCCCACCCCAGCTTCTCAGGGGGCCGCAGGTGCCCAACCTGAGAGGACTGTGGCCAGAACTCCAGGCGGGCTGGCTGGTCCTGGGCATCCTGAAACTTGGGCACCTGGAGGTGT